TGCTATTAAAAAAAGAAGAAGAAGAAAGAAAGAAAGAAAAGGGTGCAGGGGCCAGCAGGTAGTATGGTGGTTAAGGTACTGGACTCCCACAAGGCCAATCATGATTCGAGTCCCAGACCTGGCAGCTTGATAATCACACTGGGCACATGTGCATGCACGCCAAAAATCCTAGGAGGAGAATGGAGGAGAAGTGATTGTGGCATGGCCATCCTCCCCAGTGGGGTGATTTCTCGTTGTCTATCTCTGGTGAGTACACACACCCTATGGCAAAAACCTCGGGGGGGAGGGGGGAATGATAGATGCTGGAGCAGTGATAGGCATAACATAAGAGAAAAATGAAGAGGCGGAGACTTTTAAAAGACTCATTCAACAGGCCAATTTATTGAGCAAGACGTACTGGGTGCCACAAGGGTGAGGCTCTATGTTCACAATGGCAAACAAAATTTCACAGGCACCTACCTCAAGGAGGTTTTTTGTTTGTTTGTTTTAATTATTTATTTAATTCTTATTCATTCATTTTAATTTGATGAGAGAGAAGGGGGGGAGGAGTGAGAAAGCAAGCCACCAGATCCGGGACTTGAATCATGATTGGCCATGTGGGAGTGTACAGCAGCTTAACCACCAAGCCACCCACTGGCCCCAGCACCTTGAGGAGGTTAAAGTGAGATTGTCTCTGTTGGCATAGATCCCAAAAGGATCGAGGTACACAGAAGCGAAGAGAACGAGCCAAGGCCATGCTCAAGACGAGCGCTCAGAAGCCCTCTGCAGAACAGCGGCACGGAGAGGCTAGCCCCTCAGCTGAACCACTGCAGCAAATGGTGGTGCAGACACCGCAGAGGGAGATCAGGTAACCAGCAGATCCAGGGCGCATTCACTGTGGTACCCTTCCACCCCACACTCCCGTTAAAGCCACCTGCTTCTGCACAAGGTGGTGGACAGCTCGGAGAAATCATGCCTCCTGCCTCTAGAATCCCAATAACTTACAAATACGGAGCTCAGTCGATGTCTGACCCATACCAAGCTGTAATGGCGTAAGTAAAACAGGAGGGACTACGTAACTGAAGGTTGGCTGGGTGTGGGCAATGGAATCAGCCATGCCTGCTAGGTGTACAAGCGGTTCTAGTTGGCCGACGCCTGAATAAACTGGAATGACCCGCAGCTGCACAGCCCTGAGAAAGTCAATTCTGAGCCTTAATTTGTAAAATACGGATGTTGGAGCAAATCAGAGATTGCTGGCTCTTCAGTGGGGCGAAAGTCTCTGCAATTATCCTGAAGCCCGGAGAGAGTGTGTCTCTTCCCTGTTGGGATAGGGGGTACAGGCTTCCCCTTTGGCTGTTTTTACAAACATAATATAGAGAGGAGAACGCACAGCTGGTGTGGCCCCCACAATAAAGGCCTCCAAGGTTTGTCAACAAAGAGACCCACTGACTTTTTGGCAGGTAAGGAGGTGGGAGTGGGGAGGGGACAGGGACAGGGACAGCAGTGAGCAGCATAGTTAGTTATCTTGATCTCAGACTCCAGCAATAGACAGCCAAGGAAAGCCTGGATAAAACTAATATCTGTGCTTTCAAGGTGGCTGTTTGTGCCTGGCATGTATATATGTATATGTCTGGATATATTATATATTTTTCTTTGTTTGCATTGTTTAATTTTTAATTCATTCATTTTAATTTGACCAGAGAGAGAGAGAGACGGGGGAGGGGCGGTGAGAAAGCAATGTGATATATATATATATATATATCACAAAAAAAAAAAAATAAAGAGAAAAACATGGGCATGGGACCAGCAGTTGGCATAATGGCTATGTCGCTGGACTCCCATGTAGTCGACTGCGGTTCCAGTCCCAGACCAGTGGCTTGAACTCACACCGGGAATGTGTGAGTGTGTGCCCAAGATCCAGAGAGGAGAATGGAGAAGGGATTGCAGCGTGGCCGTCGGGGAGGGCGGGGTGATTTCTCGCTTTCTGTCTCTCTCTCTCTCTCTCTCTCTCTCTGTCTTTCTGGTGAGTGCAGGCACCCTATAGCAAAAACCTCTCCAAAACATAAGTAAGTAAATAAAGAAATAAGAAATAGATTTACGCAACCGAAAAACTTCCATAGTAGTTTAAGAGCTGTCAGAGCAATCATTAGCCATGAGGCTGACCCCCTCTCGCCTTTGAGAAGTGTATTTATTTACCATATTTACAGAGTGCCAGGAGACTGTATTTTGAACTGAGACGTTTTCATGTAGGATAGGTGGAAGTACTTGAGACTTCCAAAACACATAACTTCTCATGCCAAGCTGAATTCCCCAACATTACAGAAAAAGCCACCAATTCTGCAGAAGGGAGAGAAAAGCCAATCCAGTCAAAGGACATCTTCCTGCTCTTCAGGAGGAAACAAAACACCGCAGAGAGCCCTGAAACATTTCTAGTTGAATCACGTTTCACTCAGCCTTTAACACTTCATCCTGAAGCCCTCAAAAAGTATCGAATTCCATAGTCTATATTTCTGGTGATATCAATGCCTGAAATTATATGCCTTATGACAGTGAGTGAGTTTATGACTGTTAAATCAAATTTAAGGAAGCTTGAAGGCCAGATAACACCATGTGGTTGAAAATGCATGCACACTAATAAATGCCTGAGGGAACTGGATGGCTTTTCAGCTTCTAAGCTAAATAAAGCCTGGGGGGCTTTGCGAAGATCCTAGTGAGGATAATCTCTGTGATTACATAGAGCAAACCATCCAATCAATTCCACACGAACCAAGGAAAGTTAATCCGGGAGGAATAACAACACTTGAAATGTTGAGGAAAACCCAGTTGGGATTTTTTAAAGCACTGTCAGCGCTGGAAAACTTACCAGGTCATCCTCACAAGCCAGGACCTTGGACTAGTACGTCTGCGACAATGACGGCTAGTGGTAACTAAAGGCCAAGGGAGATAGGGGAGTTCTGAGGCTCAGGCCTTCAGGTTGTGTCGCCGCCTCCCAGCAGTCTCCCGACTTCCTGCACACCTTCGGATTACTGCACACTGACTTCCTGCGCCCACTGGGTTTGGGATACCTTCCTCTCCAAGGGTGGCTTGCCTTCCAGGCGAGCTCCAAGGTTAAAAGTTCTCAGTCCTCCTCCCCGTTCTCCCCCCACACACGCCCTCCATTAAAGCACAATCAGCAGGGTCGCTGGCCGAGCTGGGCAGCAGCTGGGAGATTCATTTACGTAAACAACTCTGAGAAGGTAACGCATCACTGCAATGACAGAAGTCAGCCGGCTGAAAGTGGCCGCTGCAGAGAGGTGACCGTATGGCCGGGCCCCGGGGGCCC